TCAGTCTCCTGAGCACGTTGTCTTTCAGAGGCCATTTCTGCGGAACGATTAGGAATTTGACTCTCAAATTATGTGGAAATATTTCTGAATATATTTCTAATCGAATGAGATAAGTTTGAAAAAATTGATTTTTTTGACCTTCTAAACCAGGTTCCGCCCTTCAATAGCAAACAATTTTCCCAACGCTTACATTTGTGTGTGGGCTCAAAACGCGTCGAAGGCATTATTCGTTTGGAAATTTTAAACCACATTAGATCTAACGATGCGCGATTACGCTACTTAATATTCATTAATTAGCATTGGGGCTGCATGGCGTATGAGTAATGATTTTGAAGCTGGAGTGAACAGTTGTTGCAGTGTTTGGGTATTTTCAAGTGCAGCAGTTCACGAAAATGACGCTTTATCGGCTTAGCACGCGTAATGTTTCCTTTTATTAATTTTTTTGGCAATGTTTTGCAACAATAGGTGTAGTAAAAATAAATCAATTATTTTTCCTTGAAATTGAAGGCTTTAATTGTTACTTTTCCGATCCAGGCTTATACAAATATCGAAGAAAAATTGGTGAATATGGCGAATTTTCTCTTTGCTAGTGTCTATTTTTGACGCACTGTCTAACAATTTTTTTTACTACGAAACGCCCAATCTAATTCTAATGCGATCTAGCAGGACCCAATCAGTCTTAGAGAACGTGAGATACAGACAAATAACGTCATCTATTGTAAAAATAATGATTTTTTTAAACCTAATATGCCGCAGCAGAAAATCGATGAATGGTTTTTTTAGATATAAAATATTTATTTAAATTTTTTTATATGAAAAAAGATTTTTTCTTCCATTTCAATTGCATATTCTGAAAATTGAAGGCACATTTTCAGACCGAAATGCATAATGAAGCTAAATCACTCTCTACATGCTCCCCTTTCTCTCTTTTTTCTATTTCTCATCATCGAAGCAAAGTGAACTAAAAAGAGATAAAAGAGAGTGAACCGTTATTAAATTGTGCGTACTTAACCCACTCTGACTACTCGCCTTGTATGATACCTGCTTGCTAGGATCGAACAGCTTGCTAAGAGTTTAATTAAAAAGTTTAAGGAAATATAAGACCTTGATTCGACAGGGAATAACATCATCAACTCATGCTTATACATAGTGTCAGTAACACAGTAGAAACAAGAAAGAAGAACTATCCACTCCATACTATCTTTTCCATATCGAATTAAGGGTATTTAATTTTAGATCTTAATATTAATTCTAAAATCGCAAAAGATGGAGGTGAACATATGATATAGCCGACTGATTTCGCTGATTTTCTTTATTTGTAGATACGAGTGCCTAATATGAAGCACACAAAAAGCTTCGTATATCTGATGATGGGTTGCCCAAAAAGTAATTGCGGATTTTTTAAAAGAAAGTAAATGAATTTTTAATAAAACTTAGAATGAACTTTAATCAAATATGTAATTGCCATTTTGTTCGATAACTTTTTGCCATCTTCCTGGCAAATTTAGTATTCCACGCTCATAGAACTTCTGGCCTTTATCTGCAAAAACTGAACCAAGAGCGATTTTATAGCCTCATCATTGCCGAAAGTTTTACCATTTAAAGAGTTCTGCAAAGATCGAAATAAATGGTAGTCTGATGGTGCAAGGTCAGGGCTATATGGTGGATGCATCAAAAGTTCCCAGCCAAGCTCACTCAGTTTTGGCGAGTGACCAAATATGTGTGCGGTCTAGCGTTGGCTTGGTGGAATATGACACCTTTACGATTCACTGATTCTGGTCGCTTCTCCTTGATGGATGTATTCAATGTGTCCAATTGTTGACAGTAAACATCCGAATTAATCGTTTGGTTCCTTGGAAGCAGCTCAAAATATACGACACCCTTCCAATCCCACCAAACAGACAGCATAACCTTCTTTTGGTGGATATCAGCCTTTGAAGTGGTTTGAGCTGGTTCACCATGCTTGAACCATGATCGTTTTCCACTAACGTTGTTGTTAACGATTGTTTTTCATATCCAGTTATGATTCGTTTTAAAAACGGATCGAATTCATTGCGTTTAAGGTGCATATCACAAGCGTTGATTCGGTGTGTTAAATGAATTTCTGTCAATACATGTGGTACCCAAATATCAATCTTTTTCACCAGTCCAAGAACGGTTGATTTTGGTATAATTAACTTTTCTCCTATCTCACGCTCAGTTACATGACGATCCAATTCGATTAATGCTTTGATTTGGTCATCATCAATTTCATTTGGCCGACCTGAACGTGGCTCATCTTTAAGTAAAAAATCTCCAGAACGGAATTTGCGAAACCAATTTTGACACTGTCTTCCTTTTTTAGCAACCTGCTCCGCGTTTTTTCCTTTACGGAAATAATATTGTAATATATGACGAAAATGCTCCTTTGTGGGCTCCATATTAAAATTGACGCCAAACAAAAAAATGTAAACAAAATTTCGTGCAATTTTTTTCTAAAGCAAGCTAAAGGTAACAGCTGATAACTGACAGAAGAAAGAATGCAATTACAGAGTCACAAGCCGTTGAAAAAATTCGTCAACGCCGACTATATGAAAAATCCGCAATTACTTTTTGGGCAAACCAATATATCAGCCATTTCTACGTCAGTGAGGTGATGTTCTAAGTATTTATGTCATGTGATGTTTAGCGTTTCATAGCGTAGAGGTAATGCTCGACAGACTTTTACTCTGTTTCGTAGAAGTTCTCCACAATGGTATCACAACGAGCCTTCAGGCCTAAGGGCGCTAATCGATTTGATCAGTAACCGCATCAACTCAACTCAACTCAACAGTCAACTATAACTTCTGTAAATTTTTACGCGAGTCTACCTTGATGAAGAAGAGGAAGTTCTTCAAAATGAAAACTCTGCCGTGAGCTCGTGAATTGTCTCTTTTGTGATCAGCGAGAGCTTACCTGCCTTCTGCAGGTATATAAGGAGTAATAGACTGAACTAAGGTGGGGTGTTAAAACTATACATAAAAACATAAATGCAACTCCGCAATAAGTGCATAGAATAGGAACTGAGAGAGTTTGTGTTATGTGCATGAAATGTCAGCAAAATGTGCGGAGAGACAAAAGCTCTCTGTAACCTGGATATAATCTGTTGTAAGTATTTTCTCTATAAAGGCAAACGACTCACTTAGTTAAAAGAAATACATACAATGGGATCAGTTAAGGGTTTAGAATTGAGAATATCTCAATAGCCTCAATAGGAAAAGAGAGCCTACCTAACGTGTCGAAGCAAAATTAAAAATTTGCATCAACATGCTTGGAGGTAATCAATGAAAATTTGAATTCCAAATGAAATGTAAGTGTCCAACGTGGTACACATCACTAAATAACTGTGAGTGTTGTAGTATGAACTACAGAAGAAATTAATTAATTACAACGAAGAAAAAAGAACTACTTTTACGGGTGTCCGACCTTCAGCCAATATCGTATCTTTCACTATGTTCCAAGCTCTAGCTGAAGTAATTGCACATGGAAGATGCTCAACCAATTTTCAAATGCTTAACCATAGAACTATTTAATCATGCAAATTTGGAAACATCTCATTTTTAAAATTCACTAAATTCTGCGGCCGCAATAACCGCGTGGCTAGAATAACGTTCCAACAACCACAGGCTCTCCCAGTGTATTTCGGACATGAAATTAAGCTGTTCATAAAAAACCATCAGCCGTTCGAAGGTGGCTTAATATAAAATGAGGGTCCCTCCATTTGCAGGCAAAAATATCAAAACGCAAAACCACAAATTGGAGGAGGAGCTCGTCCGAGTATCGCTTATATCATATATATAAGTATAAAATTTTCATTAATAGTTAGTCAAAACACCTGCTGTCATAATATTTTTGCTATAATTATTTATTCCTCGCAGCGTTCATTTCCATGAATCAGCAAAAAATATCACTCATACGCACTGTTGACCAACTAAATTGGTTGACAAAAAATTATGCCAATTAATTGTATGTAAATTTAGGATTTTCAAATTTTACACTAAATACTTGTTATAAAACAGTAACATTATTTGTATTATTTTAAATAATTTCTACAATGTTAAACATTTTTTTTTTGCTATTATTATTGCCTATTACGCGACGTGGCATTGCTATTATGTGTTATATTATATGTTGCATAGTATATTTTTAAATAAATGTAATATATTTCTTTTCATAAATTTCAGTGGAAACTGTGACCCGCACACACACACACACATACGAGCATACATACACTTACCAAAATTTTAAGCATTCAGTTGGAAATATATATATAATATTTTAAAATTATAAAGACTTTAAATATTGCAAATATGTGTTCAATATTGCATATACATGCGTGTATGCGTGTGTGTGTTTGCGTATTAATAACCAGCAATTTCCATAAAATGCCATATTTGTGCACAATTTGCTGTACAAGCATAATTATGGTCGTATTTATTTATTTACACGCACATGTGTTAGTATAATTATGTACGCGTATATGCGCTTAAAATACCGCTATAAATGTATCTGCCAAAATATTGTACATGTATGTCCAGATAAGTGTTATTCGAGACTTATTAATGACTTACTTTATTTAAAATAAACACATTTTTCACACTCGAATTAAATGATACTAAATACGAGTGATTTATTTATGAATAAATATGTACACATGTATATATATATATGTGCTGCTTTCGCCAAAATTTCAATTTTATTTCATGAAATAAGCGAAAATATGGGAGAGTATGCATTTAAAGGTAAAGTAGTGGTAGGGTAAATTATATTCCGAGAGTAAAACGGTTGCTAATGCAACGCTGTTTCCGAATAAGCTTAATCTGGTGTTTATATAGAATTTCCATACAATATGCATATTTAACTAAAAAGCGAAATTAAAGTGCAAATGCTTAAATAGTATGAAAATAAGTTTACTCACGTGTATGTGTGCTGATTCTATGCACTCAACGTATAAATCGATGTGTAAACATATTTACACTTACCGATAATATTCAACTGAAACGCCATTGACATTTTTGGCTCCGTATTCACTTGGCATTCATAGATGCCGGTATCACGTGCCTGCGGCGATTTAACATGTAACACCCATTCACGATCATCTTTTGAGGAAGTCACCTAGAATACAGAGAAGAAATTAATAATATTCATGTGCATATTGTGGTATATGTATTATTGAGTATACTACAATACACATACATGCATATAAATACAAAATGTTTTGATTGTTATGCTCGGCAAATGTTGTTGGAGGATATTTGAAATTTTTAGGCGTTGAGATCTTATATTGCAGTGTTAATTGTTTGGCCTTTAAATATATTGCTTCTTTTTAAATAAATAAAATTTGATGAATTTCGATTTAGTTTAATTTGATTTAATTTACTTTTGTCTGCTTGAAATTAATAATATATTTTATTAAAGTTAATCTAATTTGAATTAATTTAATCATTTTAATAAAAATTTATTGTTTTTGACTTGATTAAATAAGTATAATTTAATTTATTTTCGACTTTCGAATTTCGATCAATTAAATCTAATATATGTTTTTACTGAAGTTTATAAAATTTAATTTAATAATGTTAAGTTAATTTAAATTTAATTGTTTTCTTTTTTTATATTTATTTTTAGTTCTTTTATTTCATATAAATAAACATTTTTTATTTAATTTTTTTTTTCAAACTTTTTAGTTTAGTTTATTTTGTTTAATTTATTTCAGCTTAAACCATTGGTTTAGTTGTTGCTTTTTTTAATTTAACTTATTTACGATTAGCTTAGTATATTTAATAACCTTAAATTTGTTTAATTTATTTCACTTTAAATTACTGCACTGCTTGTAGCCTTCTTTAATTTAGTTTACCTTTTAAATTATTACTTATTATTTTTGAATAAAAATAATTTAAATAAATTTCCTATTGATTGATATTTATATTTTAGTTTTTTTCTATTTACTTTATTTAAATTAATTCAAATTATTAATTTAATTTAATTAAAATATTTTTGATAAAATTTATGTTAACTAAATTATATATTAAAATTTATTTTGGTCTTATTTAGCTAAATTAAGTAAGCTTAAATTGATTAAATATAGTTTACTTTGGTTTATTTTAAATCCGTGAAAAAAATTTAAATATTTTTACATTTAGTTTGGTTTATGTAATAACGGTTAATTTGATAACCCTTTAATACGTCAATATAATTTAATTTACTTTAACTCAATTTCGATTGATCAATTAAATATAATAAATTATTTATTTAACTAAATTAATATTTTTTGTTAATTATTTTAAACTAATTTTGTTAAAAAAAAACACTTAAATTAATTTTGAATATTTTCCTTAAATCAATTAAATTAAGTTACATTTAATAAACTTAAATTAATATAATTTCTGAATTTACTTATTTGATTTAATTATTTTTAACTCAGTTTCGATTGACTAATTTAATCTAATCATTTGAATTTAATGTACTTTATTTACTAAATTTAATTAAAATTAATCGATCAATATTTTAATTGAATTTATGTTATTTCGTTTAACTCGATTGAATTTAGTTTATTTTAATTTAATTTCATTATATTTCTTTTCACTTCGTTCCAGGCTTGCAAGTACCAGAAAGAGAGGATATAAGCCCAATCAAGTTTGATACACATGCATGGACAGGAACCAGCTAGATCGGACTGCTTTAGCATATATACGATCCATGTTTCTGATTTGATCTTTTGGGCCATTTCTCATAAAAAGTATCTAAGGGCGTGGCATTTAGTATTTAACATACTTATGATTAGAAAAATGTGCCGAAAATTACGGAAAGTGGGTCATCCTAACGTATACACTCGTATTCGTACGTATGAGGGTTCTGCCAAAAATGATAAAAAACCGTCCGGAAGAACTATATCATGTAGCCTCAATACAATCTATTTATTTGGACTTGAAGTATGAGGTCTGTGCACGTTTATACAAATGAAATTTGTCAATGATACTCATTAAAAATTATTTAGTTTAATTAATTTTTTTTTAATTTAATTTAGATTGAAATTTTTTAAATTAATTTAGTTTAGTTTAAGTTAATTTAATTCAATTTTATTTTATGTTTTTTTAATTTTAATTAATTAATTTTTAATCACACTGTTTTATTTTATTTTACATTGTTTTGTGTTATTTAGTTGAGTTATATAATAATAAATACATTTAAATTTTGAATTATATATTTTATTTTATTTTATATTATTTTAATTTTTTAATACTCTTTAACTTTTTTATTATATTTTATATTTTGTTTTCTTTATTTTAATTTATTTGATTTTAGTTGATATCATTTTATTATTTAAAAAATTTTTTTTTGTTTGCTTATTGTTTAATTTATTTTATATTGATATATATATATATATATATTTATTGTTTTGCTTTATTTATTTTGTGCATATTTTTTTAATTACACTTTTCAATTTAACTATTTTATTTAATTACATTTTTCTTATTTTATTTGAATTTATTTTATTTAAATTTTTTTATTTTATTTTAATTTAATTTGGCTTAATTTTATTTTATTGTATTTCATTTTTTTATTTTACTTTATTTTATTTTTTTCTTTTTTTTATTATTTAAATATATTTTATTTCGATTTTATTATATTTTATTTTATTTCGTTCTATTTGATCTTATTTTATTTATTTTTATTTAATTTAACTTAATTTTATTGTTTTGTATTTCATTTAATATTTTACTTTATTTTATTTTGTTTTCTTATTTTATTTTTTTATTTTATTTTAATATATTTTATTTTGTTTTTATTATATATTATTTTATTTCGTTCTATTTTATCTTATTTTATTTATTTTAATTTAATTTAACTCAATTTTGTTTTATTGTATTTCATTTTTTTATTTTACTATAATTTATTTTGTTTTAATTTATTTTATTTTATTTTTATTTTGTTCTATTTTATTTTGTTTTATTTTATTTTATTGTTTTTTGTATTTTAATTAAATTATTTAAATTTTATTTTATTGTATTTAATTTTTTTAATTTAATTTTTATATTATTTTAGTTTATTTTATTATTTTAATTTTTTATTTATTTTTTATTTAATACTCTTAAATGACCTCCTTTACTTTGTTTTATTTTATTTAACTTTTTTATTTTATTTTATTCTATTTAATGATTTAGCTACTTAATCCAATTTCGCGTTCAATATATTATATTTTACAGGATTATTTGTAATTAGGTTATTATTTTTTACTTAAATTCATTATTCTCTATTTAATTGCATTTTATTCTTTTTCTGTGAAGTAATTAAATTTCGTTTTATATATTTTTTTTGCGCCACGTAATTTCGTATGTTTTTTGGATTCAAATGTAAATTCCATAAGTACGCAATTTCTGTGCCGATATATTTGTTGGTAGGTTGATAAACATATGTACGCATACAAATTCCAGTCCACTCTCGCGATGAGGCTGTTGTAAAGTAGTAGAAATCGGCTTTTACTTAAGCTATTTAGACATGGACAGCACAAGCATTCACTATATAACACATATGGCACATACACGTATATATTATACATAATGATGTAGACACATGTGGCGACACAGCATTACATACAAGTACATGTATGAGTATACGAAGTAAGAAGTAGGTATTAACACATGACCGAGCCAATGTTGTACGGTAAGCTTGATAGAGTTGATTGGAATGTGTCAATTATCTATAGTTGGACATGTAAAGGTTTATATATATATATATGCATATAAATGTACTTATGTATGTGTATAGGTATATGTTTATACAAATACAATAATGCATATATTAATGCTTTCGCTATGCTGTACTTTTACTCAGATAAGTGATACCAATACATTAGGTGATTAATACACATACATATATATATATATATATATATATATATATATACATAAGTAACAGTACATACTTTTGTATGTAAGTTTGGTTGTTTGTATACCATATACTCGTTTATATATACATATATCGTATATGTATCACCTTTGAAATATTCAATCAGTGATAACCAGAGAGTTCTGAGAGTTCTTTCATGATGCCGTTTGGTCTTTATACTATTTTTATAGAGTTTGGAAGCTGAACCCGGGGTTGACAACAGCAAGATCGATGATCTTGCTGAAGACTTAGATATCCAACATTTAACGCAGTTCACGATTTGTGTTGGTGTGGCGTAATTCATAGTAATGAACGGAACGGCTTAATATACCCTTGTGTGGGGATCTCATGGGCAGCTCTAACGCTTTTTCCAACTCTTATGATTAGCTTGCAACTCAAAATGTAGTTAAGTCAGCCTTATGGGTTCCTGTTGATATCAAATATGGATTTCTATTGAGTTGTTGATTGTCCTATCCGCACCAGAAAAGGTCACTAAGGTGATTTGACTTTATAAATACATAGCTCGGGCGGAGTCTAAGCAACCGTCTAACATTTTCGTCTCTTTTTACCCCATGAATATCACAGGAACGATCTTCCAGGTCTAACAAATTCATAAATCTATCGCCCCAGCTCTCTTCATTTCACATCATATTACAGAGTAGTCTCCTTGCCCAAGCTTTATCATCAGCTTGAAGTGAGAGCAGACTCACAGCGTTTAGCCCATAGTGTAGCACACCAAGGAAGATGCCATCAAATTCAGGTTTGAAGAGAATTAAAGTTTTTTAATTTGACTTTGGTGGGCTTCCGTTTTTAGTGGAAAGAAGGCTGTATTCTAAGTTAGAAAATTCAGTCTCAAGTACGTTCTTTTCTTATCAGTTGGAACAACTGAAATTTTCAGACTAAGGTCTTAGGGGAAAAAAGAGAACGATTCTTACTTATTTGTGATGAAAAGTCTCAGAAAGCACGATGAATTTCTGAGAGAGCTGATCAGCTAATCTATATAAGTTACTCGAGCTTCTTGATCGAGTCGCAGAGCTGTAGTCAATTCTTATTCTTGCGACCACGTCGCGTACCCTGGAGTCATGAGCAACCCTTGTACGTGAGCAACCCGCATGGAGCTTTGGTTAAGACTAAAAGAGAGGAAGTAGTAGTGTAGCAAACTTGACTTATTCCGTTTAAGAGCCTCTATAGTCTAATTGCAGCGTCTGTTAACAAGAGGCGAGGCTGCGAACGGCTCGCTATTTAAATCAAAATTTAATTTTTAACCCACCGACCTTGCGATCTTGTGCGCTGGGTTTAGGACCCAGCCCGTAAAAGCCAGTACCAATGAAAAAGAGACAAAGCTTCGGAACGGAGTTCACGTTTTTGATGCCAACTAATCGAAAAGTATTCAGAACTATGACTTAAGAACGAACACCTGGAATGTCCGATCCCTTAAAATTGAGACGTTTCCGATGCCCAGCTGGTTGATGTTCTCGTAAGCTTATGGGTATGGATAAGAAGACTGCAGTTTTGAAAGTTTTTGATGTAGTGCCAGCTTGTGAAAGCAAAGGAAGAAAGACCTCGTGCAGAGAGCATCGCTCTACTCGGTAGTTGAAGTAAGCGCCAGACAGCGAAAAGAAGGAATAAATTAGTACATGTATATGTGTTAGAAGACAGCACAGTTTAAGCGAGCCTAAATTTTCTAACTGTACTCAATTGCACTCAAGCAATTTGCCCGTTTGTAGTGTGACTTATGATACATACATATGTGTACTCACCTGAAAGCGTTTATCCGATGTATACGTCGCTGTGGCAACGGTCAGTATATGTAAATCACGTTTACGTATCCACGAGACCTGTTGATGTACATCCAATAAACCAACCGTCCAGCAATCCATTCACCAATCCATCCATCAATCCATCAACCCAACCAAATGCGAAGCAGTTGCAATCAGTCCAAAGCCACGCAGGCCAGCCATATAAGCAGCGAAGAGTCAACGAAAGCGAAAGACGAAGCAAGTAAGATGAAAAAGTGTCTGCGGTTAGTGAAAAAATGGCAAGTTTGTTGGAACAGAAGAAAAGTGATAACAAAAAATGTGTGTAAATTAAAAAGAAGTGTGAAAAATGTACGAATTCGCCACCGACTGTGGAAGGTAAGAGATAAAAGGTGGAGAAAAAGCGTAAATTTTGTTTGCTTATAACCAGGCGAATGTGTGAGCGTGTGTATGTATGCCAAACCTCAAGGTATTGCCGGAAATGGCAAACGGAAATTGATTAATGAGCCCCGATCGGAATGAGAAATGATTGCGTGGCTTAAGAGGAAATTAAATAAAGAACTGCCATCGAGGCATTGATGTGGCATTAAACTGCGGAGCGATACGGCAGCGTGAAGCCGTTGAGGTAGTTCACCGTAAACAGCGGCACTTTATGCCTACTTGAGTGCTCAGGCGCTGAAGGGTTAGCTCGATGTTTGAGTGGCAGCGCCTCGTGTTGATTTTCTTCGTTTGTTTTCTCTTCTTTCTTTTTTGGGAACTTTTATTGATTTGCGAGCAAAAGTGTAACGGAAACCTTTTAAATGATTGCTTAAGTGGGTAGCTGAAGGCTTCACATCTTCTTTTTCTCCCACCCCACCCATCAAACGACGGCTTGGGTATGATAATTTTTTTGAAATATTTACATTTGGGAATAATTTTGCGGCGGATACGGCAGGGTTGAAAATCAAATGGCGACTATTTGATTTTAAAATGAGACATATTTTTGTTCCACTTTAATTAACCTTTTTTTGAGTAGTTTTTCATTCCAAGAAGTTGCTCTCTAGCTGAGTTAATGGGAGTCTGCCTGAGGTAAACCACCTTTCTCCTTAAAGACGAAAGCCTTTGGGTACTGAAAAAAGAATCTTTTGCCTGCTATGAGGGGGGAATGGATATGCGAGAAATATTGGGTCTGAGCAAGTAACACCCGTACCTTTGATCAACGAAAAGAATGGCTTTGTCAGATTCAGTTAACTCAGTTTCATCATTCAAAATAGCTTTCGTCCGCAGTACATTCGTTGTAGGTAGACTGAAATGGGGTTTCGAAAGAAGAAGGAAGAATAAAGCTTTACCAACTTCAGTTACCTCCATCGTCAGCTGTTAAGAGTCGTGTGAGATCTCGTCACGTACCATCTTTTTATAAGGGGTTTTCAAAATAGCTCTTGTCCACAGCATCCTCTTTGTAGTAGACTAGCATGCGGTTTCGAAGACTAAGCAAGCAATGACCCTATCTGTCAAGAAGAAGGCAAGAAGGCTTTGCCAACTTCATTTACCTTCATCGGCTAAAGTTCGTCACTCACTGTCGTTTTATAGGGAACCTCATTTCAAATAGCTCTTTTCTTCAGCACACTCTCTATAGGCTGATTGCAATTGAATTCCGAACACAATTTGGGCCAAGCAAGTAATAATATGTAGACTGTAACGGTGGTTTGAGAACGATTATGTACAAGTAAATAAAGTCTCTACTTTTAAACAAAGAAGGAGAAGTTATTTCAAACTTCCGTCACCTCTTTCATCAGCTGGTTGTCGATATGGAAGATCCCGTCATCTCTGTTCACTCACCAGTGCTTATAATTAAAGGTGCATTTTTTGTATAGGAGGCAGCCATGTTTGAGACAAGTCAGAAGCCCAGTAATCTACGTATGCTATTCTATTTAGCTCTTAGTCATGAGACCTCTAAGTCGTGCGTTCGGAATTTCGTGGAGGCTTCGGTCAAAACATGAAAGAGAAATAGGAGGTTTTCCAAACCTGAATTAGCATTAGCAACAGTTGGTTGAAGTTGTGAAACAACTTGAAATCTCGGTGCGGTTAGCGGTACTGATTTTTTGCAAATAAAGAGAAATAACACATTTTAAACAAGACAGTTCCTCAGTACGGTATTTACGGCGTTTACTATTCGACGCTTACTTCCAAAGTTAGTACCATAACAGAGCAGGCATCCGGGATCTCTCAAGTTTGGTCTTCGATGTAAGCTCCAAAACAAATCCCATAACAGAGAAGGTGTCCGGGTTCTTTCAAGTCTGGCTCGGACATACATATCAATGGTCAGTCCCGCAACAGGGAATGGGGTTTACAATTTCTGACATTAAATCCAGTTTCTTTCGCTTCTTTTTCAGAATTTTAAGGGTTTCAACCGGTAGTTCTTTGCTTTCTAATTCAGCATCGTTAAGAGTTGTTCGGTTGGGGTCGGTCTTTATTGAATAATCTATAAGTTTGCTATATGTTTTATTGCTTCGTAGGGAGGTTCTCTGTCGGTTGGAGGGAGAAACTTTAACTTAATGGGATTTTTGGCCTGCTATCGTGCTCGATCTCGATAGTTTAATAAACTGGTGGTGCTATATGCTTTCCCGGAGATGAGTGCCAAATAAAAGTTTAAGTAACAACCAAGAAGATCCGCCTTGTGGTTGGGAAGGGAAAGAAATAAGATTTAACGTGAAGTATGCGAAACGACTTGTTTCGAAGAAATAGGCGAAAAGACCAGCTAAGCTTAGTGGAACTTTAAGCTCCAATAAATTTTCAAAAGCCTAAAAGAGCATAAGACTTCCGATTGTCGTACAGTTGGGAAATTAAAAGTTTCGAGAAAGAAATGTGTGGCATTTTCTTTCTAATTTTCTTCACCTCTACCTGTTCTGGGCGGTATATTACGCCCAGCTTTTCGATGTACTTAAATCAAAGCGCCGCAAAGCAATTTTTTTGACCTCATTTATCGGACCACTTACTATTCTCGCCTTTTGGTCTTAAATTATCTTCAGCTGTTTTCCCCTCTTTGCAATTATGTGCCCTTGCGGCTATTCGCTTCAAGCACCTACATCCCAACACACATCATCGCCCCCTCATACTCACCGACTTGTCGTCCAAACGCTCGACCCGACATTTAATTGTGGCTTCCGCTTGACTGGTACGTGCCGTTATATTACGCGGCAGTCCAAAGTCAAAGATTGGCAACTGATTTACATCCTCTTGGCCTAACTCCTGCAACCCCTCCATGTGTAGGGTAGATGAAAGACTCTTCAAGGTGTTTGCGCTGCTACCTCTGCTGCTGCCATTCAACACCTCAATGTCCAACATACGCGCTAGTCTCGCTGGTGGCGGGGTGGCGCGCAAGAGTGACTCGGGGGGTGTGGTCAACAAGAGCTGTGTGTTTCGTTGATTGTAAGTTTGTATTGAAGTTGATTCGAAAGTTAAGTTATTGCTGTTGCTTAATACGTTGAATGGACTGTTGTTATTATTGTCACTGTAACTGTTGTTGTTGCTACTGCTGCTGCTGTAGTCTTTCTCCCTCGCTTGTTGATGTGTCGGTAAATGCAGTGAGCTCAGCTCCACCAAGGGTACGGCCGACACAGTGGACGACGTAGTCGCCATCATCAGCAGCGCCATCAATGTCGGCAAAAGGAGGCAACGCAGCACTGAAATGAATGAGTGAAGAAGAGTGCAGAAAAGCGATAAGTGAGAAGAAGAGTAGGTTTGTGTGTATGTTTGGATTAATATTAATTTATGAAAAAAAAAAAATTAATAAATAAAAATATGAATAAATATTTATGCAGCCGCGCGTTGCGATGCCACAAACTAATTTCACTTCTTTCACGTGGAAAATTTTAATTATATTTATTTAATGTATTTCATCACTTTCATGGCATTAGAGCTCTGTTGGTTTTCAATTATTCTTATCGCGGATGGATTCTTTGTTGCAGCTTAGTGGACAACAATTTCTCTGGGCATTAAGTTTTATGTTCTTCAAGCATTTTTTTCTTAAATGGGATGCCATGGAAAAGGCCAAAGCAATGGTTGATCTAGCAGGCATATTTATACCTATGCATGGAGTAGTATTTATATTGGATGAGTGCATAAGTTCGTGCCCGATTCCGCTGGATGCCGTTCGAATCGTTTGAGAGTGGCGCTCGTGAAAGAAATATATACATATTATATATCGTTGGAAAGGTGACAGTCCGAACTGTAAATCAAGCATAAAATAACTTCATTTTGATTTGAGTTGCTTAGTGAAAAGACGCATGGAAGATGGACAACGAAAAAGATCATATGCGTCATATTATGTTATACGAATTCCGCAAAGGAAAAACAGTAGGCGCTGCAACTAAAGATATTCGCGAAGTTTATTTGGACCGTGCTCCAGCACTCCGCACAGTAAAGAAATGGTTCGCGAAATTTCGTTCTGGAGATTTTAACCTCGAAGATCAACCTCGCAGTGGACGGCCTTCTGAGCTTGATGACGATGTTCTAAGGACTTTAGTTGCGAATAACTCACGTATTTCGACGGAAGAGGTTGCCAGTGAATTGAACGTCAACAAATCAACTGCGTTTCGTCGTTTAAAAAAGGTTGGGTACACTTTGAAGCTCGATACATGGGTGCCACATCAGTTGAGTGAAAAAAACAAAGTGGACCGTATGTCAACAGCAATTTCTTTGCTTCGACGGATCAAAAACGAACCTTTTTTGGATCGGCTCGTGACTGGTGATGAAAAATGGATCCTGTACAACAATGTTCAACGCAAAAGAACATGGAAACAGGCACACGAAGGGGCGGAACCGATGTCGAAAGGTGGATTGCATCCGATGAAGGTACTGCTGTGCATTTGGTGGGATATCCGAGGCGTGATCTATTTTGAGCTCTTGCCAGCTGGAGAAACGATCACTGCCAACAAGTATTGTCAGCAATTGGTCGAATTGAAGAAAGCAATTGATGAAAAACGTCCGATTTTGGCCAATCGCAAAGGAGTTCTTTTCCATCATGACAACGCCAGGCCACATGTTGCAAAACCGACCCTGGCCAAACTGAAGGAGATGAATTGGGAAATCATGCCGCATCCCCCATATTCACCCGATATGCACTTTCTGATTATCATTTGTTTCGATCGCTGCAGAACAATTTGAATGGAAAAAAATTTAAAAATGTGGGAGACGTCCAAAATCACCTTAACACCTTTTTCAACGAGAAACCGCGCGATTTCTAAGAACCAGGCATCCATAAATTGGTTGAACGTTGGGAGTGGATTGCCGAACATGATGGCAAATACATAATTGATTAATAAAAGCGCTTTCTTCAAAAAATTTCATTTTTAGTTTGCACTTGAAATCGGTCACGAACTTATGCACTCATCCAATATATGTACGAGGGGATTAACAAAAGTTCGGTCAGCTGGTGACTTTCAATTCGTTTTTGTTGAATCTAAAAATACCTAAAAATCCTTGCAATTACTTTATTAGACTTTCTTTCAAATTTTAGAACTATCAACTAAACTGGAGATGAGAAAAAGCAAGTTAGCTGAGGATTGGTCAGACGAGATTTCACCACCAACGCAAACGCAAATTCGCCAAGTGATTACCTTCGGGCTTCGGCGTAATTTACAGCCAAAATAAATATTCACTGAATGCCAAACTGTATACAGAACATTGCAACGTCTTTGAAGACTATTTCCGAGTGGTTCCAAATACTGTTGACCGGACGATTTTCCGTAGAGGACGAGCAACGTGTAGGTTGGCCAAAATCTTCCACTGATGACGTCACTGTAGCACTAGTGAAGTCTCATGACTGAGTTGGGCTTGAACGGCCATGGTTGTGTCGCGAATATTAGGTAAACAACTGGGATACACGAAGAAATCTGCTCGATAGTTACCACGAGTTTTAAATGAGGTCCAAAATGAGATCCGAGTGCATTTTGTTCAATTTTTCGTATACAAATTCGAAAAAAGGCCAGTCTTACAACTTAAGTAACGCTGTTGTTGTTGTTGTAACCGCAATGTTGCGGGAGTGACAGTCCTTGGCCGGATAAAAATCCCGGTCGTTCCGGTATAAAGACTCGAATGTCGTGGGAACTATTGGATTTTAGTTGCCTCTTACGGCAGGCATGCCTTACCGCGGGTAAATTCTTGAGCCCCTAACCCGCAGGGGATATTTCAGTAACGTCGTAACTGGTGATGAATCTCCACAGAGTGGAGTTCTCTCCGCATTGCTCTGGGACTTCAAAGTAACCTCGCTATTAACCCAAACGGAATGGGTTGAAGGCAAAGCTGATGCATTCAGAGGCAAATTTTTACAAATCCATTGTCACCTGATGTACGGAATACACAGAAAAAGTCTCGTCCAGCTCTATCCGATGCGGCCTCTGTGTCAATTCAAACAAAGTAGAACAAGTGATATTTACGAGGAGATACAAGATCTCTGCTATCAACCCACCAGTACTGCACGATATTCAACTTAGCCTGGGGAAGAAAGTCGAATTTTTGGTAGTCATCATAGACGAGAAGTTTAAATGGAAAGATAATATCATCCAAGGAAATGGGAAGGCTGCTAATGCACTCTGTATATGCAAAAGAACAATAGGAAGATGGGCTTTAAGCTCTAGGCTTTAACGATGAATGAGCTTCAAAAGATGGTACGAAAACACAATCTGTCCAAGGTAATAGAAGTTCTGGCCGGCCAATTTCTGTTAAGATGATATGGAAAGACTTGGGTCTCACTATAGAAGATGCTGCAGAAGCTGCCAGTATGATGAAAAGGAAAAAAAAACTCTTAGCCATCCCTTATGCGACTGTATTGCTTTGTATAGAGCTAGGTTTCGGAATTTCGGGACGGACATCTATCAAAAATAAACAACGTCTGAGACATTAGTCCACTGAGATCCATTGAAGCATGATTGTGAAGTTTTTGTAGCAGCACAGTGGGTCTTAGTAATTTAGTCAAGCCTAGGTGAAGTCGATACGATAGATCTGTGGTAGCTTAAGTTATAGTGAATGGAGACGTGGTGAGATCAGGTACGTTGAGATAAGGTGTGATGAGATGAAGTATGTGGGGATGCGGTGCGGTAAAATGAAGTGTGATGAGATGAGGTATGGTGAGTAGAGAGTTTGTAAGCTAGTTAAAAGCGTTTCTCGATTACGGAACTCTGAGCAAGCGCACTTAGACCTATTGGCCCGTTGTGATACCTATGTTGGGGACGTGAAGAACATTTTTGTCTCTTTTCCAGATGTTTCAACTAATGGGTGTGTTTTATGAAGTTCAAGATAACCTATAGATGGAAGTTTTGTTAGACCATCTAGGTGTTAATTACAGAGAAAAAGTTGGCGCTCTGAAAGCTTTACAGTGGTAGAGGTATGTCCCGGTAACTGCGTCAAAAGCCCAATGTTGTACCATGAACCCTCTTAAGTTGGCGATCGGTTATTACACCGATTATTATGTCGGTTGTTATGCTTATTGAGGTCCTATTTAGAAGGACTAAAGACTTAGTTCTTTTACTGTTGCTGGCCCTTTTAGCGATGACTAGTCTTAATAAATGCTTTGCCGAGAAAAAAGGTACGACCACGTCGTGTGCAGACGATGCTTATGATTGTTCGCCTTCTAGCCATCTCACCGGGCTCGCAGTACTTTGGGATATTCTTATGGCCAGAGAACCGAACCACGGATGTTTCAGTTTAAGACTTTCTCTGCATTCTATGCCCCCCTCTGTATGGGTTAGAATACATTGTAATAGGTTAACCATAAAGCGACTTCCGTTGTTGCGGTCTTGAGAGACGCTGCAGAGATCGGGAAGGCTATTGTTGATGTCGAACGTAAGAAGCTCAGAGAAATCACCACAATTCACATGACCAAAGAGGTGGATCTACAACTGTTACGTTTTCTCAATCATGCCTCGTCGTGGTTCTCCTGGAAAACGCAAATGGTTTTGGCCACGCATTTCGAGATTGGAATGCGTGAATATAAAATTGAATATTTGGTCGCACCCTATGCAGTTATTCGATGACTTTACAGCTCGCAAAAGGTTTTCCGTTAAGACTGGCGTGTTCAGGTCCCAGATGAGTTTGATATCTAAGATTATGCTAAGGTATTTAACCCCAAAAAGAAGAGTGATCTCGATGACTTTCAATAAGCATATTTTGAAGCTGGAAGTAGGGAGCTAGGGAGCTAGGGTATACTGAAAATGGCAAGGCCAATCTATATGCGAGTATATAAAAGACTTTGATCTAAATAACAGACAGCTCAACCCACAGCTTAAACCACTAATCGTTGAGATCTGAAACTTGATGGATGTCTTTTTCATATGAACTGTGCATCTGTTTATGGCTCGACTTGGAGCTTAGCTTTTTGTTTTTATTAACCGCGGAAACCCTTTCTCTTCCAGGAGGTGGGCTGTGAATCGATTCGATAGTTCGGTATATGTGAAACATATGTAGATGGCTCTTTGTCAGGATAAATTTGTTGGGATTTTTCTATTCGGAAGAGCCGTATTTATGGTACGAGTTGCTGGATATCTCGATATAACTCTTTGTCTAGAAACATTGTAGAAATCGTTTCTGTTTTCTCATACGGTTTGACATATTATTTTACAAGATACAAAAAATATACTTAAATAAACATATACTAAAAACCTTATTTGCACCATCTCCGAATTCC